GTGACCCCTACTGCAAGGCAAATTGAACTCTCCAGTGCTGCAGGCCTGCCAGCATCTGAGGCCACACAGCCAGGCTGCATGAGTCACACAGTGCCGGGTGAAAACCAAAATGTGTAAAAACTTCCCATTGGCAGATTAGTTTGTTTACATCCTGCAGTGGACGTGATTTGGCCGGGCTGCAGCGAGACACAGCCAAAAAGCAGGTCTTCTCTTTCCTCCCTTTAACTCGATCCTTCAATGCCTCTTTCCTCCTTTTACCGTCTTCCTTCCCTCTTTTCTCTCAACTATCTCCAGTTCATCTCTCGCTGGCCCACCGCTGCCAAGAGCACATGACCATGAGGCGGAGTGAAGCGGAAAAATAAATCAGGCCTGCCCCAGTAACACATTTAAATGAAGTAAGAAAAAAGAAATCAGACAAATTTATAACAACACCAAACAGATGGGGAAGTTGTATTTCCAGAATAAAACAAGACATTCTTAAAAAGAAAAAGGAGGAAAAAAAAAACTTCCCCCTCAATGGAGTTTGCCAAGCTATGAGCTCATACTTTGTAGATCTCTGCTGAATATCTATTCATAGCATCAGCTCCAAGATGTCAGACTTTTATGAGCCATTTCTCCTCTCGTTATCTGCAGCAACATTTAAGTGCCTGCTAATTTACGTCTGGAAATGTGTGTTTTGACTTGGAAGCATACTCGGGATGGCTTAAAGTGAAACGGTGTGTACGGGGACTGATTAAACTCTTCATAATTCTTGGATGGCAGAAGAGACTGGTAAAGGTCGACATGTGTCTGCGGCTTTGTGTGGGCGTCGTTTTCACACCAACCCAAAGCGTAATGATGAACAGGGTCAGACTGGGGTAACGTGAACAAAGTCATCTGTGAGCCGTGGTTTTGAGGTCATGCTGGGCACATCTCTCTGGAAGTGGTGATTTCATAACGACATCATGGCATAGCTACTGCCTCTCTTCCTGCACCACCTTAGGGTCAAAGGTGAAACAATTTTTCACTAAAAAGGTTTCTGCCTCTCTAAATCAAGAGCTGCAGTCGACTACTGTTGGCGAGACGCCTAAACCTATGCAGTGTTTTCGCTTGAGGGGAAATTACTCAAATGGGTGCGACTACACGTTTGATGTGAGCTGACAGCACAAAACAAAGAATGTGATTCCCCTTATTAAAGAAGTCTGCACACACAGGTGATATGACGTCTGATCAGGAAGATGTCTGAGATAACTGAGGTTTCAATTAGTTCCACATCTGAAGAATACACATCTTTTGTTTTCATATATTTTCAACACTGTTTTTTTATAACGATAATCATATACAATTTAAAGAAGTGTGATGTGTTTGTACAGTTAAGTTGTGGGGAGTCACTGGGTCATATGCTATTGGAGGTATTAACAAAAAATAGGGATTTCAATACAAAACTCCTGAATTTGCATGGCTGCTGTGTGTTTGTATGACATAGATAAAAATATAATTAAAGAGGTGAAGAAATGTGGTCAAATGATAAGGAAGATATTGAAAAATACAATGTTTTTTTATACATTTTTTTATATTTTAAATAAATGGAAAAAACACACAAATCCAACCCTTCATTTAAAAAAAGAGGCGTGTCCTACTTGTCCTGGACTTACTGTGAATTAACAACAAACATCAGCTAAATGCTACGAGTCAGTCAAACATGAGTAACTTTTCAAGAAAGCATGCCAGTAGTTTTTTCTATAATCTAACTGGCAGACAAACAAGCCAACAAACAAAACAAATCAAAAACATAAGAAGAAAACCATCTCCGAAAGAGTTTTAACACCATAACAACAAAAATCTCAAATTACATGATGTAATGTTTTACTGACTGACCATCCTATTTGGGCTCCTTGTTAATAAAAAAAGCACGGTGTTCTTAATTGTTTGCCGATGAACTCAAAATCTGTATTGACCAACAGTCAAATGACAACAGACATTTTCACCCAAAAAGGGGCATGGCCATGGCGTAGAAGGAAAGTACCAGGATGGGTTGATCTTATGTATACAAAGCATTTCCACCCTAGACAAAAATGCAATACTTACCAAAACAAAGACAGCAGCACTTTAAAACAGCCCCATTTTAGGGGGTCTAAAACCCCAGAGTAGTGTGGATGCCAGGCGTGAATATGACTAAAGTTATGCATTTGAACCAAACATATTATTGTGGGTGTAGCTTCACTGTGGTGTGCTAATGCTGCCTAAGCTTGTTAAACAATAAATCATGTGAAAGAAGATTACTGCACAGGTAGGCCACCTCCAGTGATGTGTAGCTTATTATGCAACTGACATAGTTTCCAATTATAATGACTGTTGCATGAAGGAGGGGTTACATTTGATCAACATTTGTATGTATTTCAAGAAGTTGGATAATATGCTCAGAGATTTACATGACAAGATAGAAACCACTGTAATGTCTGTAGGTACATTTAAAGTAAGGATATTAGCTAAGCTTAGCATGAGGACAGGGGAAATATTGAATACACCAAGATCTGCCAACCAACACCTCTAAAGTTGACTTAATAACTCTCTTTAGTGTAAGAACAACATGATGTAAAAACGTACAGTATGGAATTACATGCTCGTCTGTTCCTTGACGTCCTGGACCCCTCAGTGTCACTATAAGTACGCCTGCCAACAGTCAGAGACACCAGAAAGTCGCTGTGGCTCGCCAAGAAGAAAAGCATTTTTTTCTCAAAATGGTGAATATTATATTAGTCTTAGAGTAATATACAAAACTTGGACAACGTCTCATGACAATATGATGATGCCAAGTAGGCTATGCCATAATATAAAGGGACAGGGGCCAATACAAAATGCTCTCCTCTTCCATACATGTTGCTCAACACATTTGGAGAATGATTGAATTAAAATATTAAATGCGGAAACTATATCCGGTGGAAATTGGCGTTGTGTATATTGACAGACTTTTCTAACCCTAACCCTAACCCTAACCCCCTAACCCCTAACCCTGACCCTAACCCTGGAAACTATTAGTGCTTCCAATAATCCGATATCAGGTGCTTTATAAAAGACTAATAATGATATGTCCCTGCTCAATTTGATAAACGTTTTCAGAAAGACACACAAACAGGATTGCAGTGGAAGTTAAACGCAACAAAAATGATGGCTTTTCCTTGTTTCTTTGAGTAACACATATTTGCACTTTCAACACATTATGATGTCAATACTGTCATTCTTTCCTTATGACATGTCTTGTGTTCAAAAGTAGCAAACACAAGTGTGAAAAAAGGGAACACCCGTGTGACAGCAGTGTTGCAATCCTCTGCAAAAGTTTAGAAATAGGCCATGAGCTCACTTGTAATTACTGCAGTCACAGCCAGTATGAGGTATCATAGGAATAGCTCTCTCTCTCTCTCTCGCTCTGTATTTGACTCCTACATGCTGGTATCAACAGGAAAGAGGCAGCCAATGAAACTAATTGGGTGGTGTGTGTTTTATGAAAAGAACAGCCTGTACTGTCCCGAGGTTCCCTCCCCCCGCTCTCTGACTGGCTGGCTCCTAAGTGGTCTGCTTTTTTTCTCTTTGCTGTGATTGGATCCAGGGAATGTCAATAACTCCAAACTTTTTTTTCCTCCCTCCTTTCCTTAGGACTAACCCTTGTTGTTTTCAACTTTAGAGGTAGAGCTGGACTGAGAGGATCCAGCACAGTCACAGCCTGCACTCTGGCGCTGTGCTGTGTTGTATTCCAACCACACACATTAGATTTTATTATACTAAATGGCAGTAGTAACTTCATAGGAAGTAGAGCAACTATTGGCAAATTATTGAAAATGCTTTGGTAGTTAGGGACCTACAGGAAAAAAGCTTACAACTGGATTATTGTTTAAAAAAATTACCATTATAGGTTTTTACTTAAGGTTATACTGTTGATAATGTATGCAGTGTCATTCATCAGACCAGACTGAAGAACTAATTAAAACTCTTTAGTAACGTGTTTGTACTTTAAACCTGAAGTGTGTGTTAAGAGTGGATTGGGAGTGTGCTTTGCAATCAAAAATGTGTATGATTTCTGAGACGTAACAGAAACACACAGGGTATAAAATCGATTATTAGGCTCAGTTTTGCAACAATTTATTTATCTTACAAACAATAATGAAAATATATATTTACAAAAAATGTATTTTCAGGAAGCTATACATGTACACCAACAATAAAAAGCTTAACATAAATAAGTTAGTAGGATTTTTTCAGTGTTTTGAAAAAAAAAGAAGAAATAAAGCACACAGGTACACTTCAAAGTTTTACGCCAAATAAGAGTTGTTTTTCTGCCTTCAAAAAAAAGTATAGAAATGAATAATAGTGCAATTTCATGTTCCACATGAATTTCACACCACAAATAACAAATCTTTGATTCACATATTTGCATAATAAGTAGCCCAGTGTATTTAACATATTGTATCTATGTTAACCTGGACTACACCTCTTATTATAAGGGGCGGATTACGTGACTTAAAAGCCACTAAAATATTAACTCATCTAATTAAAAAATGTTTTTAAATTCTTAGGATTATTAGCAAATAAAATTTGGTTGGATATTGCTCAGCAGTTAAACCCCCCTCCCTTACCCCCAGAACAAAAAGGCACAAACTTTGGCAAAAAAAAGGAAATACAAATGGGGGAAATAAGGACACCATATTTGCATGTAAACTTTATGTCATGGCTGTTCCCAGTTTAGATGGACCCTCAACTTACAGTGTGGCCATCTGGGCCTTCACAAAAAAAAAAACACTGGGACAGATAAAGCCATAGAAAAAGTGAAGACATTTTGTTTACACACAACCCTGACTTCTTTTTAAATCTGCATTTCATCAATTACCTGAATAATAATAATAAAATATGACCAACTTAACAAAATAATATGTCTCTGTTGGAAATTGCACTGCAACTTCCAGAGTCAAATTCACACAAATACATTTAACAAAAAGGTATGAAAAGCATAATATGCTTTCTTTATGTGCTACATCTGAAACATAGGTAGTAGATTTAAAAAAAAAAAAAAAATGAGCAAAAATCCATTTGCACACTGCTACATTGTCTGCTTCTTCTGAGGCCATTTAAATTGAAATGTGTGCCAAAACTTGATAGTGTACATATTCAGTGCTTGTGCAGCCTCTCCTCCTCCCTTCTTTAGGAAAAGGCTGCGTTTTATTTTCACCCTCATCTGTCAGATGATGACTAGGCTACAGTGTTCCATCAGCAACAGGTCTCCCCGCTCTGTGGGAAATAAAGAGGAAACAAGCTGTTGGATGGTGCAATTAAAAAAAGCAGTTGCTCGTGCTTAGAAACCACACACACACACACACACACACACACACACACACACACACACACACACACACACACACACACACACACACACACACACACACACACACACACACACACAGGTTAAACAGTCATAGCCCGATGGGGTTGTGGAAGATAACAGGAAAAAACAATATGTTGGTTTAAAGAGCTGATGACGTGTAAAGTGCAGGATATAAATGTGTGCTTGCCTAAGCTAAACAAGTGTACAGAAACTATATTTGCGTCCAGAATTTTAAGCAAAATCCTATATATGATGCTACATTTTAATGGCTTAATAACATTGCAACAAAAAAATATATATATTGATTTCTAACCTGGCACTGTTTTTCACTTGGCCTCCGTTCTAACCTCCGTGCTGGGTCTCTCCTCCGAGGATTTCACCGCCTGACTTCCTGCACTGTCCGACTGGTCTTCATCATCCTCTTCATCGGTATGCGACCTTTTACCAGGACATTCGCTGGAGCAGGAACCTGGCAGGGAAAACAAGTGGTCAGGGTTTTAAAGCTTCACGTTTAAAAAGGCACCTGACATCTTCGACAGGAGGTATAAACTACTAGATTTAAATGCTTAATGATCATATACAGGAGTAGCTACAGTGTAGATATGGCATTAAAAATCTTAAGTGTCAGGGTCCTTTAAAAATGCACCATATATAAGACCTAAAACCATTGAAAAAATATTGCAAGAAACAGAGTAAAAATAAAATGGTGCAAGATTATGTTTGCTACTATGGAATTAATAGTGTGAGCTCTATCCCACTTTAACAGAGTAATTCTCAGTCTGCCTCCCCCCCCCCTTAAACTCACTTCAGTTAACCCTACGCTTCATGCCTCTGCATTGCAGCACAGTGAGAAATACACAGCAGCCTTTAAAATACGTGAAGAATAATCACCTGAAGCTCCTGAACGCCTCTTCCTCGAACCGAGTGTGTCCGGTTGATCCGACCTCCCTTCGGCTCCCTCCTGGTGGTTGTGTCCGGGCAGGTCTTCCTCTCGCTGGGGTCTCGTGTGAGGCTGCCGGGTGTAAAACTCCGGTGCGTCGCGCTCCTCCTCCCAGTCGAAATTGCGCGGGGAGAGCGGTCTGTCGTTGACGGGGTCGAAATTATACGTCTCCGTAAAACGCTCCACTTCTTCCTGTGCAAAAGACTGTAAATGCCTGTTTAGCTCCTCTGGGTCCGGTTTGCCAAAAAGGTTTCTGCGCACCGAGGGTCTCGCGTTTTCCGGCTGCCGCGCATCCACCCTCTCCAATGTGGGGCTCGCGGTAGAAAGGCGAACATCTGACATTTTGTTGCACATATAGACAATGTGGGGAAGTAAAAAAAAAAAAACCTTTCAAACTTCTATTTCCAAGTAGTATTCCTTTCAAATGCAAAGTCACGGGGATGCTGCGTGCATACTCCGCGCGTATCATCCAAAACGCGTCCGCGCAAAAAAAAAAGAAGGAATTAAGCTTCTCCAAAGGGGGCAGGGGCGTTTTAAGAGAGCCACTCCTGTCAAGTCCGTAGTAAGGCTGATGAAAACAACAAGTCAAGTCATAACAGCCAACATGGCGTTAGAGGGAGCTACGAGTGAAGAAGAAAAGTTGACATCAAGGACTATTTAAATAGAGAAGGCGATTCATTGGTCTGCGCACTAGGACCGCCCATTGAGCTCTTAAAGTCGAACAGAGGGAAACAACAACACAGGGCTGGATTGGATTAACTCTACACACGACACGAATATGGCCCAATTAACCTGTTTGATTAGTTAAATACACAGAGAGCAAAGGGAACAAAGGCTATGGTTATAATGGAGTGCGAAATCCTGCTTTATCGTTCCATTAGTACTCCATTTATCACAGCTGGCTTCAGGATAGACATCAACTGAAAACATACAGGACAAATATATCATTTGATGTCATTATCTCATCTCATGTCATTTGTATCTATATGTTCGTGCACTGTGACATGTACTGAATAAAACAAAATGTATATAACACTGTAAACTGATCTACAGTGGTGTAGCGCCGGGCTATCGCAGGAATAAATCATTAAATGCTGGTACTAGTGCTGACAGATATAACCGCTTGATCTGATTTTGTGTCACATAAATAGTTTAGGCACACTTGATTCAATCACTGTAATCCATTCAGAAACAGCTTCGAGGCTATTTAAGGACAATGAGACACTTAAATGAGGTTTTTCTGCAGGAAAAAAAAAGCAAAATAAGCCACAAATCTGCCTCCCAGGCATCCGATGACATCAGCTCTGGAGCAGAAAGCCTGCCGTCACCATTGGCACGGTGCCTATCGCTGTCAGACTTTGCCACTGGTGCCACAGAGGAGTTTTGTGTGCTTCACTGGTTGTAATTAATGCGTGTGCTTGGAATTTAAACACTGACAAAACAGAGTATGGTGCAGCTTTAAAAAGATCTTGAAATTCACCACCATTTCCCCGTGGTTGGTTCTCAGTTTACAGATTCCTAAAGATTTAAATTTGTGTTCATGCAAGGCTTAAGTTATCAAATTAATTATCTGTACGCCCCAGAGCTGTATAGTAATCCTTTAGTAATTGATTGAATGCATCTGCAGTAGTAAGCAGCACTCCTTGTGCCCAGGAGTTCACGATGTCCCAATCTAAACTCAACAGTGAATGTCGCTCTGCATTCCTCTTCAGCATTCGCCAGTAAAAAAGCACTGGGCCTGCCTTAAAGGCCATGCTGTTTCAATTAGCCTTTTCGAAAACGTCCAGCATCTCGTGATAAATACGGCAAGGCCATCTGCTGTATCGATGTTATCGCCAGGATCACACTTAATCCATCATATATTTATGCTGCTGCAAAACTGTGTTGTACAGAGTGATCCCTTAGATGAAAACAGATTAAACGGCAAGTGAGAACAAAGGGAGTGTTTTGGAAATGATTGAACTGTTTATCACAGCTTAATGTAGAGTGGGATGACGCAACCGCAGCAGGTTATGTCACTGAAACTAACATTAGTTACATATTAATTATGATCTACAATGTAACAGTCACAAAACGGAGAAAGAAAGGTCACTGTACGTACCGTTTTTATAGTTTGAGATAAGACAGGAAAACATTTTCGACTCCGTGGAAGTCAACAGTGCACTCATTGTGGATGCAGAGATGCACTCTTAAAGATGCGTCATGTCCACACACTAAATAGATAGTTAGTCGTTTAAATGTTGCCACATGTTCCCGAAGTCATAAAAACGTCTTCTCTCGATAAAAGGGGGCATTAAAACATTGCAAAACAGGCATAATTCATCTCGTTCAAGAGGAAATTGTACACAAATTAATATATTTTCTACATCGCAAGAGCAGACATGAATCTGTTTTTAAAACTGCACAGAAACTAGTCTTTGGAAATGCTATGACTTCTTTTGAGTCGTATAATTAAAATAATAGTGTTAAACAGTTTGTAATGAGTGTAAGGTAGCAATATATGAAACTTTTCATGTAGAAAAGTTTACGCCACTGCAGGGCAACTATGCACAACCAGTACATGTCATCAGAATTTTTTTAACTAGGAGTCATTTTTAATAGCCTGCAAACCAGCGGGGCTGATTTTTGATTTGGAGTCTGCAACCACAATCCATCAGGGGTCCGGCAAACCTAGTCACACCCAATGCTTGCTTCTATAAAATCCTCTAGAAACTAATAAACAAATAAGCCCCTGAAGGCTAATAACAGCAGCCTAACTTTACTGGACACAAGCATAGACTAGTATTTTTCTAATGTGAGGTGTTCATTTTCCATCAAATAAAAAGCTTAACCTCAATAAACTACAGGATGTTTTGATTGTTCATATGGTGTGTATGCAGTTGAAGGTTTTTTCTTGTTCTTGTAAAGCACCTTGGCACATTTGGGACCCTTATATTCTTCTATTGGTGAGCATGTTATGGACCTGTAGTCCGATGTCAGGAGACGGCAGCCTTAGAGCTCTGCTTCTTCTTGGCCAGCTCGGCCTGGATCTGATGAGGGAACTGCTCCAAGTGTTTGTTCACACACTGCATGCAGAACCTCTTGGTGTAGAAAAGACTGCAGTCCTGAGCAGAGAGAGAGCACCGTCCAACATCAGTGCTCCATTTTCAGATAAGCACTGGATATGTTCTTTTTTTAAAAAGATGGATTACTTGATTTTAAAAGGCACAAGTCATACATCTGACACAGCATGCCACATAATTGCAATGGCATCTGAAGAAAACATCCAAAACATATTTTTCAAATCCAGACTGGACATTCAGTTCTGACTGATAAGCAACTTCATTCAAAAACTTTGTTTACATTTAATCAGCAGATAATCAATTGAAATCCTGAATTACACCACTAAATATTGAAGCTGTAGCTAAACACACCAAAGTAATCCAATTTAAATACATCTTACCGATCCAACACAGACACACAGGCTGCACATGCTGCAGGTAGACCCCAACACAAGAAACTTCTCCTTGTCCGGACTGAAGGGGTCCTGGGTCACAAAACACTCCTCAAGCAACCTGTTGGACGACAGAAATGTAGATATAAGTTGATATAAACCTTAATTTAGATACGCAGATGTGTTTTAATGGACATAATGTGTCATAAATGTAACGTTTGAATCGCTTTAGGGTTACTTTCGCTGCTACGTTAGCCGTGGTTATGCTATTACGTAGCTAACAACATTAGCACAACATGTTTGCCTTTTTTTGGTCCACTTACACAATGGCTCTGGTGTTTGGTGGTTTCTGGCCGTAGTAAGTAAAAGGGCTACTTAAACCACACAACTGGCAAGTAAATGTTTTTTGACGTGGCTCGCTTGTTTGCTCCATCTTTTCTAAGCAGAGGGAGCAGAAACGGCTACTTCCTGCTTCTTCTTTCGAGCAGCCATGTTGTTACGTTAGGTTTTGGCGCCACCTAACGGTCGGGTGGTATACTTTTCACAAAGCAATAAACGAATTAATATTAATATATCGTTTAGAACTATTAGCATTTAGTGAACCAGGCAAAAATAAAGTGTTGACAGCAGTTAGTTTAACGTGTAATTAAAGGGAAAGCACAGGTCTAATTAATACATGAATGGCTTACTGACTTCCAAGATACAAAGCTATCATTACAATTATTAGTTCCATCTGTGCTTTTCGTCCTATGACAGTTAAAAATTCTGAAAAGTTAAAGATATGAGCTAATTTATTTAAACCGTGCATTATCGACAATCTGATGAGCAGAAATCAGTAGCAGAGAAAAAGTCAAATACAAACATAAATGAAATATATTAGTTTATTACAATCTACAACATGGCATAATTCCTTTTATTGAAAAAGAAAATGCATTTTTATTGTACTCTAATGTACATGATACACAAAATAAACAGTTTCATTATGACATGAAACAATGTTTCTACAAGTACAGCAAAGGAGGCAATCGGCTCTTTTTAGGGCCTGTTCTGCTGTTTCAGATCCGTTCACTGTGATCACCACATTCTTGTTATATTTACAAAATAAAACATAAACCAGCTTAATAGATTATTGCGTTCGTGGTCAAAATATTCAATTGCCATTGGCCAAAAATGCGTCTCAATGGCAGGATTTGTAGAAAACACTTCTGATAAAGTAGGTGAGGTGAGCTATCATGTTGTCTAGCAGTAAGATAAAGGATTACAATAAATATTTTACACATGAAATGACAATGTTTTTCAAACAATGGCTGCTTACATTTAGTTTATTGGCTGCTTGAACGAAGCGCTGTTCATTATTTATAATGTGAGAAAATTCCCTGATCCAACACTAAAGAGTTACACATCTATCCCAAAGTTACAATGTTATGTCTTTAATGAATAAGGTGTGGTCGAAATTGAGGAAATATGAGCTCAAGCATGGAAACAATATGGCACTTGGTCAATACTGATAGATGTTTTACCAACCACTTATCTCAGAATGGACGAGGGAGATGTGCATTTCAGAAAGGAAATTCAAAAGACTCAAACTCACACATGATATGCACTGAATAGATAAAATATTAGGAATATGTCTTGTATGGAGTTGTAGCGCCTATTGCACAACCAACATTTCAGTACATATTCATGTCTGCTTCTTTTGCGACAGTTTAATTATTCAGTTGTTCACAGGCTAAGTAAATATTTAGTATCAGTGCACGACTGCACGTATGACTGCAGCAGTCATATCCGGGTATCTTTATTATGTGTACACCCATGTTAAATGCAAGTTTGCATAGTCTACTCCCCATTTATAATCAGTTTGAGTGCTTTCAATTAAAAAATATGAAAGCTCTATTATGTTAGATCAAAACCTTTGTTCACCACTGTGTCCCCTTTCACAGATTTACACAAGTCACCTCCAGGAGTTGTTTTTCCCCTTGGAAAAATAATTTCATTTATGTTTTGTTCCAGTAGAAAGTTTTGAAGTCACAGGATTAAATGCAACTCAAGCTGTGTGCACCCATAGGAGCTGCCCAAAGCTTACAGTACTTTGATATGCTTGAGTGTATCAGTTCATATTCATATACACCCAAATTGTAGTGGCATACATACAGTAAATATTCTAAAACATGTCCATGTGCCATCCCCTCAGTACATGTCCCTGTATATCTCTTGCAGAAGCGGATGCAGTGACGTGTCCTCAGTTGTTTTGATTTCCTGCACCAACTGAGCATGCTCCGTGACCAGCTCCCGGAGGTCAGCCAGTTTCTGCAGCAGTCTCGGGAAGAGGAAGTTGTTGTCCGGGTGGTTGGCCAGCAGGTGGAGCCGTAGTGCCTGAACGATGCTTTCCTGCAGCTGCTCCACTGGAGACACATCCACCAGCCCTGGGCGATCTGAAGGAAAAAGAGGTCAGATAAAAATGTGTGACCATACACTAAATAGAAGAGACATAAATACATCTTAAATCTAATAATAGGAAACCAACTCAGATCTGCCTTATTTTCCTAAACCCTCTCACTATAAAATATAATTGATTATATAGGTTAGTTACCTCCGCAGCAGATAATGGCAGCCACAAAGAGTGCCAGGTCACTGTCGTCAAGCTCCAGGGAGTTAAAGCGTGTGGCAAACTGGAATTTGGGCTCCATCATGTCGCTAAATGGCCGCCGTAGGCTTTTGAGGAACTCTCTGGTGATAA